GCCGGAGATTAATTTGCAAGTTTCAATTTACAGAGGACTTACTCCAGCTTCCCCACCTAACAGAAACAAAAATGACAAATGCTTGAATCTGATAAGTAATACAGACTATCGGAGCCATCAAGATAGAGTGACATATAATGGCCCAGGTGGCAAGTGAGTGTGTTGCGTTTGGTCTTCAACCATAGTGTTCACGTACACGAGGGCCAGAATTAAAAGCAAGCCAAATGCAATATTCGTTAAGGTGCTGATGAGTTGTTTCAAGCTTCTTCTGGGGTGCACTGAACTGCTTCAGGTTGCTTTTGCATTGCACTGACTTGCATAGTAGAGAAAAGCAATTTGGAACTAAACCCATTTTGTTATGGATACTGACAGAGTTTTGTTGTGTCTAGCAGTCAAAAGCTTGCCATTCTTTTTTGCGCGATCGCCAGGACAGCAAATGGGAGATTCTGATTGGTTGCCTTGAACAATACCTTTTTCTTTGCTAGTTTTCAGAAATGAGTTCTTTCCCGTTTTCACTTACTAAGTTGTGCTACATTCCTGTTTTAGGTGTGTTTTTTGGATATGTTTTTCATAATCAGTCTGAAGCAAGTATAACCACTTGAGACAAAAAAAATTCTCCTTCGCTCTGAGACATGGAAGTGGTGCCATAGATTAGCATTTGTTTTAGTGTGGATTTCATCTGATTACCATGCTTTTTAAATTCATGGAAAGCAGCTGGAAAGTGCACATGTGTAAATGAACCATTAATCCCCCTTTAGAAAGTCTACCTCATTATGCAGTAATTGTTAACTTGTTTTGATTTAGAGTTTACCCGCATCACATTGATAGAAAACAAATCCTCCAAATATTTAAATTCTTTAGAAATTCTCATAAATACTTAAAACCTAACTGCATGGCTGATTCATATAGATCAAGCTATATTCTGGGTAGTGGTTTTAGAAATTTGTAGGGGAAGTGCTGACTCTATCATTGGCAAAGCTTTTTTTTTTTTTTTTTTTTTACTTGATCAAAACAGTAGGGTTGCTATGGGCATCACCTACATACTTTATTTTTATAGAATATGCCTATGAGTAACTACAGCAAGTAATGTGGTTTTATTTTTCCCTTCTGGCATAACGCTCTGGCTTGCACTCTGAGGAGAATACTAACCTGAAAATCATAAATTCATAATGTTACGGTGACTCCAGCTGCTCATAATATATGAAGGAAGGGTTTTTGGGAAGACTTATGTGATCCATTTATTTTACTGATGGACTTTTGTTAGTAGCCCTGTGTGATCAATCCTCCATGCCGTGTTTTTTTTTTTTTTTTTTTGTAAAGAATATTCCAGCACCTGGATTGCTGACTTTCCCAAGCTGTCTGTGTGGTAGGCCTCTCTAGTGAGACCTGACTTCATTATATTTGAGTCATATTGTTTTTATAATGCGGAAACTGATGTGACTCACAGACAGGTCCCAACACCCAACAGGTAATAAACTAGTATTTGGTGGCGACAGTCACGTTGATCTACTAAAGGAATAGTGGCAGTTCATTTATCCAAAGTGAATATTGACTTGGCAAAGTAAATGTTCACTGGGCTTAGAAAATATCTTGAAGCTGTGTTCATTTCAAACATTCCGTCATCTGCAATCACATGCAAACAAAAATCCTGGTGTTTTTTGTGGGTTTTTTTCTTCCTTGTATCATTTGCATGATGTGTTATTCAAGTCTAGTCATTCAAAGTGAAAACGGCTTCACAGTACTTACTAAGCTCCGTGATCTTTCCCATCGCTAAGTGGGCAGTCTTTTAGTCCTTAATAAGTCAACCGCAGTTGGTTTACATCTCTGCAATTTTTTTTTTCTCCCTTCGGTATTCTGTTGTAGTGCAGGTGCAGCCAAGTCCCCATTATTATCCACCTACCATGGCCATTAAGGGGGAAATCAGATTTTGTTTCTGGATTTTTTTTTTTTATCCTTATTTTATGTTACATTATAAAGAATGCAGCAGGAAGAGTAACACTTTTTATGAAGACTATCTGCTGCAGGGAAAGACGTGGTAGCAGTGGTAGAGAAATCTCCAAAGAAATAAAACCTACTTGTGGGGCGCTTTGATGTTCAGGCACCAGAATCCACCAAGAGCTTATCGGTTTTAGGTATACTGACCCTTTGGGCTCCTATATGTGGGCTTTAAAAGGGGCTTTGCATGTGTTTAGGGCTCTAGGAAGCCTTGGAAAACTCTTAGCTTTTTTGTTGTGTGCCCCCAGTACGAAAATGTATTACGAAGGAGTTCCCCATACTTATATTTTTTATATGTAACTGTTGGCAAGCAAAGGGCTGCCTGGGTGTGGTCAGGTGACCCATATAAAGAATCCCTTTTCTGTAATCTGTTAAAGATTAGTGTCTTCTGGTCTATTTGATGGGCGTCAAGCACCTTGGGTAACTGGAGGAGATCTCCCCAACAGGAACCAAGATGGCAATAAAAAAAAAAAAAGTCATAGCAGAGTGGGGAATTGTTAACACTTTCGAGTTTTTTTTATTGCCATCTGTGTCTCCATTGGGCAGATTTACTCTCACTTCCTGTCCAGGTGACAGATTTTTAACCCTTCCTCGATCTGTTCTATAAAAATAGATGTTAATAGTTAATGTGTGTGTGTGTGTGTGTGTGCGTGTGTGTGCGTGTGTGTGTGTGTGTGTGTGTTCTTTAACATTACACATATATCTTTGCAACTTTCCGAAGATACAGTGTTAATTTTTGGACTGAAAGCTGGGCTAGGTTCATGTGGTGGGACATCTGCACAGTAAAGAATTTCTAGAACAATAAAGGGCCCTAAACATATGGGCATTGCTTAATCCTGGCTTAGCAGCTTTCTGAAAGTTTTTTTAAAGCACCCCTCATTTCAAGTTTGGGAATGCTGATGGGAGTGCTGACTATAGCTTTAAATAAGAACAGACTAGAGCTGAAAGGTGCTTTAAAGTGAACCTATGTTTTGCACATGCAAGGCACAGCAACAGGTTAATTTTAATACCTTCCTCCACAGATGGACATGTATACCATTGCTTCGCTCCTCTGCACACTCCATTCACTTTCCACAAGGAAAGAAGGGCAGCCCTGTGTAGTGCGGGCCATAGACTGGTCGTTTATCGGCTGAATTTTCGTCCGCATGAAAAATCGGCCGATAATCACGCTGTTAGTGGGGCCAGCCCGTCGGCTGTTTTTCGCGGATCTCTTCATTTATTTTTATCGGTCATGCTGGAAAATCCACACAAAAACGGCAATTTTTCGTGGACATTGGTGGCAGCATCGGCAACAGGCCGACCGATTTTTCATTTATCGGCCCGTCTATAGCCTGCCTAAGATCCCAGTCACTCTCATTAGAGTTTCTGCAGGGTTGAGGACTCTGCTTTTCACAAGTAAATGTGAATGTGAAAGCACCTTAGAAGCAATTTGAAACAACTTTTTGGGCAACTAAAAGGCAAACCAAAGAATGTCAAAGTATCTAAGCAAAACACTTGAAAGTATACTACATTTTTCTCCCTTCTATACAAACCCTCACCCAGTGGTGTGGAAATTTTTGAAAAAACTACTTGTCCAGGGACTAAATCGGTGCCCCAATCTACCTGTCCCTCATGGAAATCTACTTGCACTGATAAAAAAAAAAAATTTAAGGTGCTGTTAGTAATGTCTGGGGCTTTTAAAAACAAAAGGGGCTTTACGGCCACTTGAACATTTAATATTTTTAACATTGTGCTGTTTATCATCTCCTCCTCCCCTCCCTGCCTGTCTCCAGCCCCACACCCAGGGACTAGCAGGGATGGGGGGAGACCTTGCAGTGTAATGAGCAGCAATTGGCTGCTCGTCAGGGAAGGGGAGCATCCAGCTTACCCTTTATCCCTTTCGCTGCCAGAGTCGGTTTTGTGATGTTAATTTTAGGGTACAAAAAGCAATAAATTATCCAATTTTTTTTGTAAATTATAAAATATGAGGTTGCATTGAGTAAATAACCAACATGTCGAACATTTAAATTTGCATGCGCTCTTGAAACGGCAACAAACTTTAGTACCCTATATTTTTTTATATCACAATCGACTTTTTAATGTGTAGGCACTCCAGCACGCGCTATTACGTTTGTACGTGTGTATATGTAGGGTTGGGGGGGGGGGGGTATATGTTTTGGGTGTAACTTTCATTTTTTAAAAATTTTAAAAAAAGTATAAAATTTTTTTTTTTTTTTTATCACATAGGGGGTCTTTTGTGATGTTTTTTTGGTGACTGGTTCTCTTTTTGGAGACATGCAGTGTCTAAAAGACACTGCATGTCTCCCCTGAATGTAATGCAGTGCACATCACACCGCATTACATTCTTTCCCAGCCTCAATGGTTGGGAATCTGTCAATGATGTGTCCCACTCTCCTCTTTCCCCTATACCGGCATCCTGGCAAACTGCCAGCACCTATGGAACCAGTCCTGGGCCCGCAGATGGACGAGCAGAGCCTGGGACATATAACTGGCGGGGGGGGGGGGGGGGGGGCTGGTGCTGTGGGCTGTGTGGAAGCAATCGGGCGGCAGCGCTACCACCCGACTGCTTCCACCTGACAGGTGATTCTTGCCCGCAGCAGGGCTAAACATAAAAACTACCTGCCCAGCGCTCAGAGCTACATGTCCAGGGCATCAGGTGATCTAAAATGAAAATCCCTGCCTTACCAAAATAGCAGTTGAGATTTACTCCCTGTTAACACCGGTGCAGTTTGTCTCCTGGGAATGCAAGACAAGAAGAATGCCATTATTGTCTAGGAGTCCTATTTTATCTAATGCATTGCCCTTTTGTGTGCCTTGGAAAAAGGATCAGACACTTCTTTTGGTGCATTTTTGGTCCCATAGACTTCAATGGGAGCTTTTGAAAAACACATAAAAAAGCTTGAAAATGCAGGCGCACGAGTGTGAACCTAGCCTTCTGTAGTCTTTAACAGATTCAGTTAAGGGAGTTTTTTTTTTGTTTGTTTTTTGTGGATATTTCTAACCGTATGTGTTTTGTGATTTGTGTAGAGACTCTGCTGGACACTCGATGGGCAACATCTGAGCTGGCGTGGGTTGTACGTCCAGAATCTGGAGTAAGTAATCTTTCTATGTATACAAACTGTTTTCTGCAAGTATTCATTTTATTTTCTCATAACTAGCAAACAAAGCCCATTGTCACTCCAGTAACTTTTTTTTTAAGTTCATGTAGTCCCATACTGCCAAGTTAACCAGGAACATGCCTTGATCAAGCTTTTGATGGTGGTCTGAATTATGCAGATTATCCATTGTACATACAAATCAATTTGGTGCACCTAGAGAAGTTTAGACAATGGCAGACGTGTGCAAACAGAGTACATGTTAACTGTACTTGGCATGTGCTTATGCACATACCACATATGTAGTGCCTATATAGTGCTTAAATGAAAAGTAATAAAGAAAATGTTTCTTTTTTTTTCTTGATGTAGTGGGAAGAAGTGAGTGGATATGACGATGCATCAAACCCGATACGGACTTATCAGGTGTGTAATGTGCAGATGACAAATCAAAATAATTGGCTTCGGACGCAGTTTATCCCAAGGAAGGACGTACAGCGTGTCTATGTGGAGTTGAAGTTCACTGTACGAGACTGTAATAGTCTTCCAAACATTCCAGGATCCTGCAAAGAGACTTTTAATTTATTTTACTATGAATCTGACACTGATTCGGCGTCAGCAGACAGTCCCTTTTGGATGGAGAATCCGTACGTTAAAGTGGATACCATTGCACCTGATGAAAGTTTCTCAAGTCGTGACTCGGCTCGCGTGAACACCAAAGTTCGAAGTTTTGGTCCACTGTCCCGTGCTGGCTTTTATTTGGCATTTCAAGATTTGGGGGCTTGTGTTTCTTTAATTTCAGTACGCGTTTTCTACAAGAAGTGTCCACGCACGGTTGCTGGATTTGCAAGTTTTCCAGAGACCTTGACGGGCGCTGAGCCCACCTCATTGGTAATTGCCCCTGGAGCTTGTGTACCTAATGCCCTGGAGGTTTCTGTCCCACTCAAACTATATTGCAATGGAGATGGGGAATGGATGGTACCTATCGGTGTCTGCACATGTGCACCTGGTTATGAGGCGGCTGCTAAGAACACACAGTGCCAAGGTAATTAATATATGATGGTTATTTTTATTACTAAGGCTTCTCTGAATGGGGTGTTAATTGTCCCCACTACACACCAAAAAATAGAACTCTATTGTGGCATAGCATGCTTCAGTGCATGTGAGTTTTTTGTTTAATTTTGCTATTTGTTAACCTCTAAATTCTGTTTACCAGCCTGCAGCCGAAGTACATACAAGTCCAAGCAAGGTGAGGGACCCTGTCTTCCTTGTCCTTCTAACAGTCGAGCAAGTTCTTCTGCAACAACGGTCTGTGCCTGCGTTGCTGGATTCTATAGGGCTGATGGAGAGACACCTGAAACGCCATGCACATGTAAGGATATAAAGCTATGGTGTGAATGTTTTTAGTATAGCAAATGGATTTAAAGTGTAGTTTGGTTAAAAAACACTACATGCATCACTCTTAGGCCTTTTGTTTAATGTCTGTGGTTGGGGGGATGATAAAAATGCATGGTTGAACATTTTTTACCACCCCCAACCTCTGCACCTTAAGATGCAAAGATGGTGGATGATGGTGTACACATACTGTGGCGCTATGCTTTGCATTGCAGTGTGCATAAATGATTCCCCCTGTCACATTCAGTAGGAGTTGACAGGCGGTGAGGAGGTAACATAACTCCTCCATACCACCCATCAAACACTTTCTGAAAAGTGATCCACCTTGGAATGCTTTGTAGAGGGCTCCACAAGTGTAAACAAGCCCTAAATTCATCTTTCCCTTGGTTTTAAATCCTAGTGTCACAAAATACTACTTTTTATGATGCATACAGCTCCACATCAGTTCCAGTAGACAGACTTGACATTCTTCTATAGCATCTCTAATATAACTGGCACTAATCAGCAATGCTTCACAAGCCAAACACTAGAAGATCTTTTTTCCTTAACAATTTAACTTCACACAGATCAGTATGGCACATGTCCGCATTGCCAAATTACATTATACTGTTGAATAAATAAAAAATAAATGTTTTCAAAGCAAACACATAAATAAGGCTTAGAGGATTAACATACTTTGAAACATTATTTTAAAAAATTAATAAGACCGCATCTTGTTTTTGAGAAACTTTTCTTGAAAAAGCAAGAGTTGATTGATTTTAGTTATTAAACACTTAAGTATGTCAGTGGTCAGGTAAACCATCTGTTTTGGAATCCACTTTGACAGATGCCACTGTAAGCTCATAATACTCTAACGGAAACCTGTCATGGGAGAAAATGAAGGATGTCATTGGTGACCTTTACTTCTGAGAATGCTAATTGGCCTGACTGTCACACTGATGGTTTGCTGTCGGTACCTTGAGTCTCAGGCCTGGAACAAATTTGATGCAAGATTGGTCCAGGTCTATGAACCGTTCACGCTAGAACCTGCTGCAGGAGACCTGCGTTCTGTGCCAGTTTCCTGCACCGCAATGCCCTTGTGACCTGCAGCAGGTGTCAGTGCAAAGTTAATGACACCCCAAATGCAGGTCGCAAAGGCAGTGCATTTGCCCGCACCGGATTGCATGGAACAAACGTACCATGCAATCTGCAGTGCATTTCCAAAAGTAGTGCATGCACTACTTATTAATGCAATCTCAGCTCGTTAAGAATGCATGGGCTGAAATTGCACTGCACAGAACTGCACACAGGGTTCCTGTGTGATTCACATGCACTTCCTAGTGTGAATGGGCTCTATGATTTAAAAGTCTTGAAGTCAGGCAACTAGCATATTCAGAAGCAGGCTGATGAGGGTAGCTCTCATACTCTTTTCTTAATTGGTTTACTTAAAGAATATTTGAACCAAAAAACAAAAAAAATATTGTAGCTTTCCAGTCCTTAGTTCTGAAGGCTGCATTCGTTTTTCTTTTGGTGCATTTTTTTTTACTTTTATTTTCGCCTGGTAATCCTGCCATTAACTCACTTCCTGTCCTTTGGTGATAACCATGCTGAGAAAGAAGCGTTGTTACCCTAGGACAAGGTAGACAAGGAAATGTGCTAAGACTATATAACACCTCCATTTCTTCTCCATAATATGGGCAGGATTTTGTCAGCCACAGAAATAGTAGGGAACACTGCTACCTGATAACGGGCAGTACAGTAGCTTAGTGGATAGCACTTCTACCTTGCAGCTCTGGGGTCATTGGTTTGAATCCCAAAGACTACCTGCTTTGTATATTCTCCTTTTTCTCTCTGAATTGTCCATAGTATGTGTGTATATATGCATATGAAGAGAGGATGTGCGATTATTAGCTCTTTGAGGGCAGGGAATGATAAGAATGTGCAATGTATGTAAAGTGCTGCATAAATTGTCAGCTCTATATAAATACCTATAATAAACAAAGCAACAGTCCAGAGACAGAGAGCACTGGAAATCATCAGCCTACAAGATTTCTGGCTGGATGGACAGCTAATATATTTTTGCACTTGTTGAACAGATATATTAAAACACTTTCAATGGTATATTTAACAGACCAAAAGAGAGCAAATAGGAGAAATGTATTGTTGACATCAAGTTAAATATGACCATGTCTGCCCATAATGCCCCCTCAAACTTCAGATGAAACATGGTTAATTTTCTTCTTACGTGTAATATTTCCTGCATAATAAGAAACCAGTTAGAAAGTGAGAAAAGCTGTAATTAACTATTCCTTTAAAGGAGTCTGTGTGGCATTAATATTGATTTTTACTTGCTCCATTATTTTGAAGGGCAATCATTTTCCCTGACTCAAAGGAAGAAGAAAAGCTGTGATTTTAAACATATTAACATTGACTTCTCCCAACAGCCTGCTTTTGTATCCAGGCACAGTTCCTCTAAACCCCACAATGGGCAGAGGGATTCTACTTAAGCTTTTTATATGCAGCGATTTGGTTATTTGGCCTGAGCTATACTTACATAGAGGTATCCAAACTTGAAATGATAAATTATACAGCATGATTAGAAATCAAACCTAAAAATCACAAGGCGTTCTAGGTCTCACTGCAATTACTAGTTTGACATATCCATTCAAAATATTGTAATTTTTTTGGCTGTGTTAGCATGTGGCTTAAAAATGCATGTGTGTGATCTCTTTATTGGTTTACATATAACTGTTATTTTAGTATTTTAATAATTTATATATTTTAGGGCTGGTCAAACCTCAGAAACTGGATAGTCAATGTACCTAACAAATGCCAGCAGAGGCTAAATGTTTGGAGCCTCTGCTTTTGTAAACTAAAAAGAACTGGCTCCTAAACTGGACTGATGGACTCGCAAATCTGTGTGATTGTCCAAGCTTCCCTGCTATTACATATCTGGTAACCTGTCTTAACGAATGGCATGCTAAGTGGTATATTTCTGGTTGAGTACCTGACATTCAGCTGGATGTTTTGTGCTGCATATATATAATGTAGATGTTTTGTGTTCACCTCTTCTGGACAAGAATAGTAGAAAAGCTTGAGGGCTTAGGGCATAAGAGTTAAATGTGCAGCAAAATGTTAGGAAAAACATACAGTCATGGCCGAAATTGTTGGCACCCCTTGATATTTCTCAGGAAATCATGTATTTCTCACGAAACGTATTGCATTAACACATGTTTTGCTATACACATGTTTATTCCCTTTGTGTGTATTGGGGACAAAACAAAAAAAGGGAGGAAAGAAAGCAAATTCGACATAATGTCACACAAACCTCCAAAAATGGGCTGGACAAAAGTATTGGCACCCTTTCACAACTGCGGATAAATAAGAATGTTACAAGCATGTGAGTTGCTCCTGTAAACTCACCTGGGGCAAGTAACAGGTGTGGGCAATATAGAAATCACACCTGAAAAGCAGATAAAAAGGAGAGACGTTCACTTAACCTTTGCATTGTGTGTCTGTCTGTGCCACACTAAGCATGGACAACAGAAAGAGGAGACGAGAACTGTCTGAGGACCTGAGAACCAAAATTGTGGCAAAATATCAACAATCTCAAGGTTACAAGTCCATCTCCAGAGAACTAGATTTGCCTTTGTCCACAGTGCGCAACATTATCAAGAAGTTTGCAACCCATGGCACTGTAGCTAATCTCCCTGGTCGTGGACGGATGAGGAAAATTGATGAAAGATTGCAACGCAGAATAGTCCGGATGGTGGATAAGCAGCCCCAAACATGTTCCAAAGACATTCAAGCTGTCCTGCAGGCTCAGGGAGCATCAGTGTCAGCGCGAACTATCCGTCGACATTTAAATGAAATGAAACGCTATGGCAGGAGACCCCAGGAGGACCCCACTGCTGACACAGAGACATAAAAAAGCAAGACTACAGTTTGCCAAAATGTACTTGAGTAAGCCAAAAGCCTTCTGGGAAAACGTCTTGTGGACAGATGAGACCAAGATAGAGCTTTTCGGTAAAGCACATCATTCTACTGTTTACCGAAAACGGAATGAGGCCTACAAAGAACAAAACACAGTACCTACGGTAAAATATGGTGGAGGTTCAATGATGTTTTGGGGTTGTTTTGCTGCCTCTGGCACTGGGTGCCTTGACTGTGTGCAAGGCATCATGAAATCTGAGGATTACCAAAGGATTTTGGGTCGCACTGTAGGGCCCAGTGTCAGAAAGCTGGGTTTGCGTCCAAGATCCTGGGTCTTCCAGCAGGACAATGACCCCAAACATACGTCAAAAAGCACTCAGAAATGGATGGCAAAGAAGCGCTGGAGAGTTCTGAAGTGGCCAGCAATGAGCCCAGATCTAAATCCCATTGAACACCTGTGGAGAGATCTTAAAATTGCTGTTGGGAAAAGGTGTCCTTCCAATAAGAGAGACCTGGAGCTGTTTGCAAAGGAAGAGTGGTCCAAAATTCCGGGTGAGAGGTGTCAGAAGCTTATTGATGGTTATAGGAAGCGACTGATTTCAGTTATGTTTTCCAAAGGGTGTGCAACCAAATATTAAGTTAAGGGTGCCAATACTTTTGTCCAGCCCATTTTTGGGGTTTTGTGTGACATTATGTCATATTTGCTTTTCTGCCTCTGTTTTATATTTGTTCCAATACATACAAAGGGAATAAACATGTGTATAGCAAAACATGTGTTAATGCAATACCTTTTTTGTGTGAAATACTTGATTTTCAGGAAAAATATCAAGGGTGCCAACAATTTCGGCCATGACTGTAATAGCAAGTATATAATTGAAAGCGGCAAACTAGTGCTGTAACCACAGTGATTTTGACACAGCCTTTTTTTCTTCCAGCTGTTCCTTCAGCCCCTCGACATGTGATTTCCAATGTGAACGAGACATCTGTTGTCCTTGAATGGGGAGAACCTGCTGTTTTAGGTGGCCGTGAAGATATTTCATATAATGTCATCTGTAAAAAGTGCTCGGATCGGATGTGCAGCCGCTGTGATGATAATGTGCAGTTTTGGCCTCGTCAGCTTGGGGTCATCCAGAGACTTGTCTCAGTCAGCCATCTTCAGGCACATACCAAGTACAGCTTTGAAATCCAGGCTGTAAATGGGGTATCTAACAGGAGCCCCCAGCCTCCGAGTTACTACACTGTAAATATAACAACCAACCAAGCAGGTGAGTTAGAGCAATAAAATAAGCAAAAGTGAAAATAAGGGTGGGTAGTGTTTAATTGAAAAAGTCCTTTGGCAGGATGACGGATCTACATGGATTCAAGGTTGTTGATTTTTCTCTCTTCTTTTTCTTCAGCCCCTTCAGCCGTTCCTATAGTACAGTCTCTTGGCAGTTCAGCGGGTTCTCTCACTTTGTCCTGGGCTCCACCTGAGAGCCCCAACGGAATCATTTTGGATTATGAGATAAAATATTATGCAAAAGTGAGTATTACAATTTGATGGTAAGCTGTGACATTGATTAAAGGACTTTACTGTCTTAAAGTTCTCACAATTTTCATTTCTATTTATAATGTTCAATTATACAGCACACCAGTTTTATTAATAATACCATTGTTGTTTAAGTGTGGGATTGTGAAATTAAATGTTTTCATTTAATTACATGTCATGCTTTGCAAACTCATCCTTGTTGTATTACCCCTTTTATAGCTGTATTATACTGCTGTTACTATTACAAACATAGATCTATACTCATACAAAAAAAGTTAACAGAAAAAAAAACAAACAAAAAAAAAATACAAAACCTTTATTAAATAAAAAAAAAACTGTCAGGCCCGATAGACCACTCTTTTTCTGTAGTCACCTTTTCTGTGATTCTATGGCAAAAATTCTGTATTATGCCTGTCTTTTCTCTTCTAATTTGTAATCATTTTGTTTGTTTGTACAGGGCCACAGTGGTGCAGGAAACACAGTGACCAGCCAGCGCACAAGTGTTCGTATGGAAGGCTTGTTTCCAGACTCCGTGTATGTGGTTCAGGTTCGAGCTCGTACAGTGGCTGGATATGGGGCATACAGCGAGCCACGGGAGTTTCCGACATTAGCAGAAGATGGTGCGTGATCTTCCAATAAATCATCTGTTTTTAAGCTAACGTTTTTCTGAATCCTAATTAACGTTACTAAAATCGCTGACAGATGGCTGCTTCTGTTTAATACCATTTGTACTGGTACATCACTGCTTGTATCTTTTATAGTTTTTCTTCCTAACCTAACCCACCATGGTCAATTTATGAAAACTGAAAGCTATAGAAGTGGAGGTGTTGTCCCAAGTAGCTTGATTCTGTGTTTGATTTTCCTACTGCAGGCTTAAGCATGGAAAACAAGATTGGTTAATATAGGCAATAAGATTTTTATTTAACTTCGCTTCAGTTTTTATGAATTGCCCTTCTCTATTCCTACATTTTTGGTGCGTGCCTGTCCTGCTGGTTAAATAGAGGTATGGGTGTTAAGCCCATGTAATAATTAAACATGCTTTCACACGTCTTTTGTCTTACACTGCTCTGTTCTTGTATATGCCGTTATCTTTTTTTTTTTTCACCTGCTCATTTGAAACTTGCACTTGCCTTCTGATTATTCTCTTCCATGTTCCTAGTCCTCACACAACAGATCTGTTGATTTAAGCCCTATGTGGTATACAGCGGGGCACAATTATAACCTGGAGCAAAGGAAAGTGTCAGTCTTGCCTTGGCAATCAAGCACAAACTTTTTAACTTTTGTGGGGAAAGTTATTAGAATAGCTGGAATTTATTTTGCATTTGCTTGAGTTTTATATGATTTTCCTTGGCTCCAGTTTTGATATATTGGCTCCATTGACTCACCTACCCCATCCATCTGCTAATTGCTGTCTCCTCTCTTATCAGTCCACACTGTGTCCCCTTTGCCTGCAGGATCCACACCCTTTATCCTTATGATTCCTCATGTCCTTGTTTTTCCTGTGCCCACTGATCCCTCACTCCCTTCCTCCTTTTTTCCTTCCCTATTTCCCGCACAGGGGATCGGAGCAGTCTTCAGGAGCAGGTCCCGATGGTTGTTGGCTCTGTGACCGCTGGGCTGATTTTTATAATTGCAGTTGTCGTTATTGTAATTGTGTGTTTCAGGTGAGTGGCGTGTTGGGGCAGAATAGTTGGTGGGGATGGATGGGATTGTTTGTAAAAGTAAAAGAAGCTCCATGTGGAGGATCTGATATTTGTAATCTGTATTATTGAGATTGGACAAGATGAAACATTTTTTAAATATTTTGTTCCTTTTCTTTCTACAGCAGGAAGCATAGAAATGACCCAGAATCTGAATATACAGAACTGCAACAATACAGTGAGTGTGGTTTGAAAGAATAATGAATTGGTGTCTTCATAGCTATACCCCTTGCTCTGCTTCTTTTTATGTTTCAGGCATGTTTTCCTTTTTTGTGTCTCATTTTTTTCTCTCTGTTGGTAGTATTAGATGTTCTCTTGGATGCCTTTCATAATTCTGTAGTTTTACACGTTCTCCCTGTTTATTCTTCTGTTTGATGCTCTTGTGGTTATAAAATACAGTGACCTTTTTCTGGTAGTTAAAGCTGTCTTGCTCTACTTGTTCTGGGTGGCTGCACATTATGCTTCTTCTCACTCTGCATTTGCTATCAATTTGTAATTAATGTCCCGTGGTGTTCACAATTAAATGGCACTTGTAAACACTATATCTTTATTTGTATTTCTCCGAGCTAAGAAATTAGAGTCTGCCCTTGGATTCTCTCTATGTTTTTAGTTTTTCCATATTTGGACTTTCGTTACACCCAGTTAATTATTGTCTTTATGTCAGTAAAATGGCAAAGGATAAATATGACATATCTACAAACACCAAACTGCCTTGTCTTTTTAGAGGGAACCTGTCAGGGTAGAAATGTAGCAGATAAATTGATGGCTGTTGGTGCAGCCTCCAGGTTGGCATCCTTGTCCTTCTTACATTACTTGATGTGTAGCGGAGTTGGAAAGGGATTTGGGTGAAGTGTACACTGGCTGAATGCTTGACCTCATCTATAGTTGGTAATGCTTGTTCTGGTATTTCCTAGCCAGTTCTGATCTGTGCTGGTTGAATGCTTACTGTGGTCCGGTGCTGGCTGGTTGCGCGCTCTGGTCCGCTGCTGGCTGGTTGCGCGCTCTGGTCCGGTGCTGGCTGGATGCGCGCTCTGGTCCGGTGCTGGCTGGTTGCGCGCTCTGGTCCGGTGCTGGCTGGTTGCGCGCTCTGGTCCGGTGCTGGCTGGATGCGCGCTCTGGTCCGGTGCTGGCTGGATGCGCGCTCTGGTCCGGTGCTGGCTGGATGCGCGCTCTGGTCCGGTGCTGGCTGGATGCGCGCTCTGGTCCGGTGCTGGCTGGGATGCGCGCTCTGGTCCGGTGCTGGCTGGATGCGCGCTCTGGTCCGGTGCTGGCTGGATGCGCGCTCTGGTCCGGTGCTGGCTGGATGCGCGCTCTGGTCCGGTGCTGCTGGATGCGCGCTCTGGTCCGGTGCTGGCTGGATGCGCGCTCTGGTCCGGTGCTGGCTGGATGCGCGCTCTGGTCCGGTGCTGGCTGGATGCGCGCTCTGGTCCGGTGCTGGCTGGTTGCGCGCTCTGGTCGGTGCTGGCTGGATGCGCGCTCTGGTCCGGTGCTGGCTGGATGCGCGCGCTCTGGTCCGGTGCTGGCTGGATGCGCGCTCTGGTCCGGTGCTGGCTGGTTGCGCGCTCTGGTCCGGTGCTGGCTGGATGCGCGCTCTGGTCCGGTGCTGGCTGGATGCGCGCTCTGGTCCGGGCTGGCTGGATGCGCGCTCTGGTCCGGTGCTGGCTGGATGCGCGCTCTGGTCCGGTGCTGGCTGGATGCGCGCTCTGGTCCGGTGCTGGCTGGATGCGCGCTCTGGTCCGGTGCTGGCTGGATACGCGCTCTGGTCCGGTGCTGGCTGGATGCGCGCTCTGGTCCGGTGCTGGCTGGTTGCGCGCTCTGGTCCGGTGCTGGCTGGATGCGCGCTCTGGTCCGGTGCTGGCTGGATGCGCGCTCTGGTCCGGTGCTGGCTGGATGCGCGCTCTGGTCCGGTGCTGGCTGGATGCGCGCTCTGGCCTGTGACACACTAATTAGTAAGACAAGGATAAGGATGGTACAAAGCTTGCAACCATTAAAAGCAAGATTTTAACTTCTTGCCAATACCTTTTATGTTGGTTAACCTAAATATATTTTGTAATGCAAGCTTTCGAGAATACTTTGTTAGGTCTGGTGTCCTATATCCCTGGTATGACTGACCATGCATAAGGAAGAGACCTAAAATCTCCTATATTTTCACTTCCTGTTACTGTCTAGGACTTGATGGACCTCTGCAAAGAGACCGCTGCTTCCACATGAAGACCAAATGGTCCTTCTCAGCAGCATGCTGGCAGGCAGCAGGCTTTATATACATAGGATTTAGCTACTTGGTAAAGAAAAAAATTAGAAGCTAGGTTTACACTTGGGGGTGTTAAAACCATGTAATCGAGCCACATTGTTACTGCCCTCTCCAACAGCTCTTAAGCTGCAAAGACAGCATGCGGCAGTCATAATGCTTTGCATCACAGTGTGGCAAAAATTATCCAGCCCTCCCCCGGATTCCATTCAACAGCAGTTTAATTTTAGGGGTCTAAACAGACAGTGGGGAGTGCCTTCCCACTACCTGTCATATGGATCACTTTTCAGCGGGAACTGCTAGTGTAAATGAACCTAAGCCTTTGCACATCCTAATGTTTTAATGCAACAGGAATGTATCCAGCTGAAAGTTCAATTCAACTTTAAGTTGAAAAGAAGGTTCACACAAGATTCCTGAAATGTTAAGTCTGGGAACGTAGCTTTTATTTTGTGTATATAATTTGTTGGTGGTCCTTCAAATGGTTGTTGGGTTTGTGTTTATTAGTTACAAATGTCAGCCCTGTCCTCATTACACTGATTAGTGGTTTTGAATGACAATAGATTTCTGCAGCACACTTTGGTCTAGATTTACCCCCATTGCTCCATCAGTAATTTGCCTATTTGAAATGGCATGGTTTATTACAAAGTGCGGCCCATAAATACCATTACTCCCCCTTCCTATTAGAGTGCTGGATGGCTCCCCTGGCTGTTAGTGACACACCTTTTGTGTTGTGTGCGGCCTGCTGTTTGAGGGGGTGTAAATTATGCCAACTGGCTTGTCTTGATTAATGGGTACAAATCATGTGCCTCATCTCCTGGTCATAAAAGAGGTTTTATTGAAGTGATTGTTGAGGGTGTATGCATAGTTCTCCAAATGCTCCGTCTAGCCTATTTTTAGTAACCGTCTGCCAAACATTTGCCATTTTTGTGGCTTTTGACAGTTAATGTTTCCCCATTTATCAGCCTCATAGATTATTACATTATTGATTTTATGCAAAACTGTACATTGATTCTAGGATATTTCTATCACTTTTAAATAGTGGACTTAAGAGCCTATGCATATTACATTAGTGTACGCACTGTTGTTGTTTCCATGGGTCCGACAGTATATGCATTATGTCTTCAGGGGTGTGGAAATGCTTTAAAAAACTACTTCTCCAAGGGACTAAATCGGTGTCCCAATCTACTTGTCCAGATAAAAAATTTTTTTTAACCAAAACTATATTTAAATCGGAGGTGATATTAGGAATGTTTTAAAAACAAAAGGGGTTTTATGTCGACTTAAACGTTAATATTTTTAACATTGCGCTGTTTATCTCCTCCTCCCCTCCCTGCCTGTCTCCAGCACTGTACCCAGGGAGCAGAGAGACCTTGCAGTGGAATGAGCACTGATTGAGTGATTGCCAGGAAAGGGGAGTGTCAGGCTTATCCTTTATCCCTTTCACTGCCAGAGTCGTTTTTGCGTTTTTTTTCACAAGATTAAAAAAATAATAATTTTAGGTCTGAAGATTACACAAAACACCCCAAACATGATATGTTTTCTGAAATCCAAGTGGTAGTTCCAATTTTTTATGTCGCATGATATTACCGCAAAATTTCAGTAAAAAATACAAGTTAATTTTAGAGCACAAATAAAGCAATAAATGACCGTATTTTTTTTGTAAAATATAAAAGATGAGGTTGCAGCGAGTAAATAGATATCCAACTTGTCAAACCTTAAATTTGTGTGCACCCGTGAAATGGTGACAAACTTCAGTACCCTATATTTTCTATAGGTGATATTCTTAAAGCCTCTTCTAGGTCTTCAGTATAGTGTTACGGATGAGGTCTGGAGCTATAATTATTGCTCTCATTCTGGCGTACACAGCGATTATGTAACGTGTTTTGTTTCGCAGTCGACGGTTTCATGCGTAGCTGCCCCAGAGTGTGCTTTTACGTTTGTACGTGCGTATATGTGTGTGTTTGGGGGGGGGCTCAATTTTTTGGGGGGGGTGTTATGTGCTTAAGTAACTTTTTTTTTTTTTTTTTTTTTTTTTTTTCCATCACATTGATTTTTTTTTTTTTTTGGTGACAGGTTCTTTTTTATATTTATCTAAAAGACCCTGGATGTCTCCCCTCTGCACCTCTGAATGTAATACAGTGCACATCACAATTGCCAGAAATCTCTCAACGGGGACCCGGAAGTGACATAACGTCACTTGCGGGTCAGGACAAAAAGAGGGGAGTGGACGTGTCCGCTCTCCTCCCTCTCTAGCCACCGGCGGTGAGCCAGTCCGGGGCCTGCAGATGAGCAGGCAGAGCCCGGGAGACAGTGGGCGGAGAGGCTGGCACTGTGTGGAAGCATTTGGGCGACAGCGCTGCCATCCTTGTGTCTTAACATACCTATAGACTGTAGATGCCCATTGATTTATGTCTGTGATTATAAGAGTTAGCTAAGATACTTAGAGTCTGTCATACCTCACTTTTTTAAATGAAAACCTTGCAGCAGTACAGGATAAAGAGTACTTGCACGTTTTCCCACTTTCTAAGAAAAAAATTTTTTCCTATATTGTGACCCATGTACCTTTTTATTGGCATCTGACTGCTTCCTGAAAGAGTCAATTCCTGGTGGTGCTGGTCCCTTCTCCTGTCCTAATTTTCACTTAAGCTTGCAAATCAAAAGAAATTCCAGAAATTGTCAAAGAAAAAGAGTAACTGCAAAAGGCCCAATTTAGATGGCTTACTGTATGGGAATTTAGCATTATTGCTTTACTAATTTAATACTTATTAGCTATAGTAACATTATTCCAGTAAGTAGCCATATTGGGTATACCCTGCTTGCATATTTAGGTCCAAATTGATAGGCAAAGTTTATCTTCATTGCCACCTTTTCACCAAATATTTTCCAGTTGTTTGTAACTTTTCCAATTCAGCTTTGTGTTTGTATTTGCTGCCCTTGTATTCACAGCTTTGTAAATTTCTGCAAAAATGTTCCTTGATTCAGGCAGTTTAAGTCTCCCTGGATTTGATTTTTCTTTAAAGCACTGCGCAAACAGTTGGCACAATATAAATCATGTATGATATAATGAGATCATGAAGGAGACTGTGAATATCAGTAACCTCCAAAAATACCCCGAAGATCTCTGGAAACTAGAAAAGAGAAACCACACCCTTTGGACCTTCTGTTGTCCGTACACTTCTCAAATGTCAGGCAATTCTGTGGGGTTGAACAAGAGAAATCTTAATGTATAGGGTTAGCCTTAGTAGTGCATAGAGCATCATAGTATAGTAATCATGGGTTTAAAGCGATCACAAACATAAGAGATTAGCTCTGATTGGCTAATATGGGTAAATGCTAGTAATTTTGGTTAACCTTGAAACAAAACCTCTTTCTGTGCAGCTTTATAACAGCAGGGTATCCTTATGGTTCCAAGTGATGAACACTTCCGAATTGTAAATGGGTTTATCATTTGTTTTTTTATTGTATAACACTTTAATAGGTAGGTAAAATTTTCACTATTTGAATAATAATGATCAGGCCATCTCACACTTTAGTGTTCATCTTACAGTTAATAGCCACTTTGAAATGATGTCCCGGTATGGCTGTTAAGAATTTGTAGGTTTCATTGGCACAGTTCAGTAAAGTACGTGATGCTTCTTGTTCTCACAGTGGTTCCTGGCATGAAGCTGTACATTGATCCATTCACTTATGAAGATCCTAATGAAGCCGTGCGCGATTTTGCTAAAGAAATTGACATTTCGTGTGTGAAGATTGAAGAAGTGATTGGTGCAGGTTTGTCTCATAAACACTTTGACTGTCTTTCCATTAAAGTCAGATGCTTCTCGTCTTTCACTTAATGATACAGTAGGGGATTGAGAAGTGCATAGTGCAGACATAAGGTTATCGTGAATATATTAAATGGAACGTGATCTGTTAACCAAGCAGAAAAGAATGGGCAGATTGATTTCTTATCTCCTTTCCTCTAGGTGAGTTTGGGGAGGTTTGCCGTGGACGACTTAAACAAGCAGGACGCAGGGAGCAGCTGGTGGCAATCAAGACTCTGAAAGCAGGCTATACCGAACAGCAAAGACGTGACTTTCTGGGGGAAGCGAGCATTATGGGGCAGTTTGATCATCCAAACATCATACGGCTAGAGGGAGTTGTGACCAGGAGCCGTCCGGTGATGATCTTAACAGAGTTTATGGAGAACGGAGCCCTTGACTCCTTCCTAAGGGTGAGTTCATGAAAAAGGTAGTTTGTCTAAAGTACAGATAGGTAGGTAGGAGTAAATGAGTGGTGCGGGGTTTAATATAGATTGTTGTGTAGTTTGTGGGAGGTGGCAGCTTTATGATGTTTAAAGGATACAAGTTTTTTAAGGAGTAAGTTTGGACAATGTTTGTTCTTGCCATTAGCACCATCTTCTTTTAAGAAGAGACAGAATATGTATTATTTTAACAAAGCACACAGTGACATGTCTGTCTGCCCAGTCATTCTGGAATCTTCTAGTTAAACAGTGATCTGCATTTAACTCCTATACATTAAACTCCGCTCATGTTTTTTATTAGGTGAGTGGAGGTTTAACCTGTAGACTTGAAATTCTCACAATAGTAAATAGTTATTTTTCTGATGACTAAGCTGCATATAAAACATCTGATTTGTGAACTGAAAACATACTATCACAGCTTTGGTTAATGAAGTACATGCTGTTGTGTGTTTTGGCGCCCATCCTAAAAAATCAATAATATAAACTGTATTCAGCAAATGTTTTTCTTTGAAGGCCAGTCCATTTGAAAGGGATGGTTCAGTTTTTGGTAGGTGCTGGAAAACTAAATAACCTACTAATTTACTGTGGTGGTGAGATGTTTGCTTTGAGTTACCAGGTAGAGTGAGAGTGAGTGAGAGCACTTGTAGGGTCATCCTGCTACTTTTTCTTTTTTTTTTTTTTTTTTTTTTTTTTTTAATGCATTTATCTTTTTATTATGGAGAATTCCTCAGGAAGAGTGGGGACATCCTATTTTTTATTCAGATAGAGTGAGGAATGTGACTAGGAGTCCCCTGGGTAAATTAGAGCCCATATGCTGCCTCTTCTTACTAGACTCTACATAAACCTCTCCTTTTAAAATACATCTAAACTTACTAAACAATACAGGGGATGCCATTGCTCACTAATTTCTGTAAATTCTATTTATTGGCTGCTTTCCTGGCTTCAGTTCTTTAAAGTGGTAGTAAACCGCAGAAAAAAAAAAAGGTAATATAATAATATGCTAGTATGCATCGCATACTAGCACATTATGTAAAGCTTCCCTTAAAACAAAGCCCTCCAGCGAGGCACTGTTACCGTTGCAGAGGCTTCCATCTTCACCTAGTCTTTCCGGGGTTCACGAGCTCCAGTCGTCTGACAGGCTGGGCCGCTATGACGTCACTCCCATACATGCACGCGGGAGTCCCGGGCCATGACACAGTGCTCTGAAGGTATGCACTGATATGCTCTTCCTTCAGAACGCATGCACCGGCTTTAGGAGATGTTCATTTTACCTACAGGTAAGCTTTATTATAAGTTTTCTTATAGGTATAAGTTAAAAAAAAACGAGTTTACTACCACTTTAAGTGGTGCTAAAGGCTGAAGGTTGTTTACCTTGCATAAAATGCATGTGCTGCTGCCCCACCTAATTCTTACCTGAGTTTGATCTTGATCCAATAATGTGCATGGAAATCTTGGCTCTCCCGGGTCCCTAAGCCACACTCTGTGTGTCTTTTAGACACACACAGTGGGGCTTGGGTGCGAGCATGCAAGAGTACCCCCAGAGCAAGCGGCTTGCTCTGTGGGCACTCAGCAGGGTAGAGTGCCCTGACTGGGGTTACTGACTAGGGACCCAAGAAGTGGAGGATCAGGGCTGCTCTGTGCAAAACCTTTCCACAGAGTAAGATAGTTATAGTTCTTGTGAATGCAGCAAAATATGTTTTTGTTGGAAATTTGCATGATTCTCCTCCATTTCAGACCTTTTTCAGAATTTTTACTTTTGTGAACCTTACTTAGGTTTGTTACACATGTTTCTCGTGTGTCTGCCTTTGTGAATCTGTAACCTCTTTTGTCTTTGTATATTGGTGCTTTGTTTCTTTTTTTATGAACGCTAAAAAACTTTTGAAATAAAAAATCTTACTAAGGTTTATGTGGTTTATCAATCTTCAATGTAAGTTGGTTTACTCAGGAGTGTTTAAGCCTTGTAAATCTTTCTCTTTCATCAGATGAATGACGGGCAGTTTACAGTTATCCAGCTAGTGGGCATACTGCGTGGCATTGCATCAGGAATGAAGTATCTATCTGAGATGAACTATGTTCACCGTGATCTTGCTGCCCGTAATATCCTGGTGAACAGCAATCTCGTCTGTAAAGTGTCTGACTTTGGTCTGTCCAGGTTCTTGGAGAACAGCCGATCTGACCCCACATATACCAGCTCTCTGGTAAGACACTATTGTTTATGAGAATGTATCTTGTTTTTGTATATTTTTTCTTCATATCATTTTTTTTTTTTTTTTTTTTTTTGAAGTCTGGTAAAAATGAATCCCTGCATTTGAATATTTCTCTTTTAAATTTCCAGTTATTTGGAACTTTAGCCACATTTTACATGTTTACCAGGCTATTCCGAACTGTATTTTTGCTATTGGTTTCAGACCACAATAGCTATTGCTCAAATTTACATAAACACCTGAATAATTTGGAAGACTTCACTTTTCTCTCTGTTCATTTAGGGTCAGTGGAGTATCTGTTGTGAATCCTGTGTTGTGTTATAATAAATGTTTGCTTTTTTAATAGAAATGTTTTAAAAATTTAAAAATACTTTTAAATTTATGCAGAATTGTTAGTGTCCTTTACAAATGGTAAACAGATTGTGGAAATGTTTTAGAAGACAGCCCTGAAGAATTTAAATGTAGCTTACTTGAACGAGTAGACCTAGTGATATACTGTGGGTGATCCATAGTTTTATTTTCTGTGAAAGCTGTTGATTTCACATAAAATTGGCCTCACTTCATACTTCACTTGCAGGTAATCAAAAAACAACATCTGAAGTTTTTTCCAATCCATAAGTGTGAAACCTTTTGGAATCAGGAGCCCAAATTGGGCTCTAAAGTACATTTTGTGGATCTCCAGTTTGTTCAATAATATCTTTTCCATCGAAACTTACAGTGCCAAATGTTTGCTAACATTTAGCTGCTTGGAGCCTACTTTTGTGACACTTGGGGGCACGGTATTAAAAAAAGAAATGCATACAATTCTGCTTCATAATTGACTGTATCCAAATAATGGCATTCAAATGTTTTGCAGTTTGCATGATTCTTCAGCATGTGAACAAAGTATTTTTGTGTCCTCAATTTTAGGCAGGCCATACATTTTATACTTTTTTTTTTTTTTTTTTTTCTTTTTCTTTTTTTCATTCAACCATTGTGTTGAACGAAAAAAATGCGCAGATTCCCCCATCCACCTTAAGTATGTGGATGGGGGAATCTGCACATTTTTTCCGTTCAACACGAAATCGCTCCCACTGTGCTATTGTGTTCTGACAGCGGGGAGCCTTCCCCACGGTCACAACCCAATGATCAGTTTTCGACGCTCATTGTTCAGAAAAAAAAAGGGGGGCTTGTACAGATGCCAATCAATAGATCAACTTCTGTACAACCAGGGTGCCTATACTTGGATCGAAAAGTGACCTGTCCCTGTTGAACCTGCTGAATTTAAATCACTAAATAAGTCCACGGGGTCTACATTCCTCAGGTACCATCATTGCTATTGTTGGGGACATAGTCACTGTGTGTCAAGGATTGTCACATTCCAGCTATTGTGCTTGAGGCACGGGAGTAATTGCGCACTTTGTTGAAGCAGTGAAGACACTAAGGTGCTCTGTAGAGATAAGCAAGACAGCACATTAATACTCCAGATAAGAAAAGCACGTTACATCGACCTGAAGAAGGCACATTCATATTCCTGATTTGAAATAATTGCATTTTAATATAGTTCTAGTTTGGAAGAATAACTTGAGTTCTGGTTGCATATGTGGTATTTGGGGGCATTAAAGGCATTGCAAGTTAGTTTTTAAAGCTTTTTACTTTCTAAACAGGGAGGAAAGATTCCAATTCGCTGGACTGCTCCAGAAGCAATCTCATATAGAAAGTTCACATCTGCTAGTGATGTTTGGAGTTATGGTATTGTTATGTGGGAAGTGATGTCGTATGGTGAAAGACCTTACTGGGACATGTCAAATCAAGATGTAAGTGCTTTTTTTGTCTTTGTTAAAATCTTTGGATAAAATAGCAAAAACATGTTAAGGTACACATTGATGGATGATTTCATTTCAACACATTCTCTGTTTGCAGGTAATTAATGCAGTGGAACACAAGACTATCGCTTGCCGCCTCCTATGGATTGCCCATCTGCTCTGCACCAGCTCATGCTCGACTGTTGGCTCCGTGATCGCAACCTGAGGCCTAAGTTCTCACAGATTGTTAGCTCCTTGGACAAGTTAATACGCAATGCGGCTAGTCTAAAAGTGACCAGCACAGCTCAAGCAGGGTTAGTATTTGATGGAGGTAGCTAGTAATTTTTTGTGTAATTAGTGTATGAATTTAAATAGGTTAATGTCCCTATGTGCTTTCCTTTGATTTGTATGCATCTTTCTCTGTCCATTGATGTGGATGCTTATATTTCATCTTTGCTCATTATATTTAACATAGTAAGGCCCCTTTCAGATGGGGCGGATCCATCATCAGATCTGTTTGCCCAGTGGGGAATCTCTCTGCTGATCCCCGCTGAGCACATGGAAGACAGGTCTGTGTCTGCCTCCGCTGCTGCAGTGCGGACACAGACACAGTCCATTGCTTTCTATGTGGCGGTTGGATGGAAACGGACTGCCTATCCGTTTTCCATCCGACTGTCATCCAATCTGATCTGCCAGACGGATGGGGAACCCCCATCCGTCTATTTTTAGCGTACAGGATCGGATTGGATGCCGGTGGGTGTCAGCGGATACATGTTCGCTGACACCCGCCGGTCCATAGAGCGCTTTGGCTGGTCCAATCGGGTTCCTCTTGAAAAACTGACAGGTGGACCCGATCAGACGGTCAGTGTGAAAGGGGCCTTACTACACAGTTTAACACCTTTTTTTTATTAGTTTTTTTTTTTCATTTTTTGTTTCATATTGTTCTTTTTAATTCTTCCAGTGTGTCCCAGCAGCTTTTAGACCGTACTGTACCAGACTATACAACGTTTCCTACTGTGGGTGATTGGTTGGAGGCGATCAAGATGGGCCAGTATCAAGAGAACTTTCTGAGTGCTGGATTCACCTCTTTTCACCTAGTGGCTCAAATGACGGCTGAGTAAGTAGATGGGAATGTTTATCTCAGAAATTTTGGAATGACATGAAAGCGAAAATGTGTGTTTTTATGTTCCTATGTTTTTTTTAATGGATTACATGTACATTAAATGTAATTTTATTTTTATTTCAGGGACTTGCTCCGAATCGGGGTGACACTTGCTGGCCATCAAAAGAAGCTTCTCCATAGTGTCCAAGACATGAGGCTGCAAATGAGCCAAACTCTTCCAGTCCAGGTGTAAAGTTACAACACCGTGGGACCAAATTCTTCATATTGAAGAAACCATATGGACTAGATAGAGCTTTACGGGAGCTCAAGGGTGCACAAGAGTAATCCTGGATCATGGTGGGGTTTTGAGTGGAGTCACAGTTCCTTTGCACAAAAGAACTCTCAACCCTCTGCTTGCTGGATACTTGCACTTCATTTTGATCTACTGCTATGAGCAGGAAAGATTTACGATACGCCTCTGCTACTCCACCATAGGCGCTCCAGTCTGAATGGATTTCTGTGTGAATGATAATGTGTGTGTAAAAATTAGTAGTGTAAATGAAAAGATTATGGAGTGTATGTGACTATAAGCAAAGTAAAGTTAAGTAGAGGGGTCCATTGAGAGTACAAGAAAGGCAATATATTTTAAGTGTCTTCCACCTAGTACAAAAACCTTTAGGCCAATAATAAAGGTGCAGGGTTGCAGAGCTAGCTATTTGTTTTATTCTCTTTGTATCACCAGAATACATTCATAATTCCCAATTGTCCCTTTCTTTTTAGTTTTTATTTGCATGCAGAGTATTCAGTGCCGCTCTCCTCTTACAGAAGCCCAGCTGTAGAAGGCCCTTTCTATGTGGGTCTATGGGAGTTGGACATAGGACCATTGTTATTGATCTATTCTAATTGGAAGTAGGCACTTCCAAGCGACAAGGTGTTCTTAAAGGGCCAGAAGCATTTCTTATAGATATTGAGGTGGAAACATACAGCTTACATACATAGGCCTATTGTTATTGATCTATTCCAATTGGAAGTAGGCACTCCCCAGCAACAAGGTGTTCTTAAAGGGCCAGAAGCATTTCTTATAGATACTGAGGTGGAGACATATCCTTTTTTTTTTTTTTTTTTTTTTTTTTTATTCTGTTTCACAATCCTGCTACCCATTTTCTTTTTGTTTTCTCATCTCAGGTGGTATCTCCCCTTAATCAAAATCCACTGAGTCCTCCCCATCCTATATTTAACTACTGCTTCTGTTTATCTATTTTCCTGCTTCTGTTTTCCCTTGTTACCTCTCCCCCCTGCAACCATTTTATGCTCTTTATTTTGTGAGTTTACTCACACTTTCAGTGATAAGGGGGTGCGTTTAGAGTGGAGATTTCATCATAACTTTACATTTTATAATTTTTTTTTTAAGAAATACCTTTTTTCAATTAAATTATTTAAGGAAAACTTTGGTTTGTTGTTTTTTTTTTGTCTTTTTATATTGTGTCATCCCATAAAGGATTTTAGCTTTTTTTTATTGCGTATGGCCTACATGTTTTTAAAGAATAACTGCTGCAAATGAGGAGGGCAAGGATGGAGTACACTTGATGTGATCCTTCTAATATTAAAAGTTTTAGTGTATGTTAGGAATACCATGGTAAAGGCCTACTTTTGTCCACTGTTTGCATATTGCCAGGCAGCCCTTGAAGGTAAAGTTGTGAAAGAGCTGGATTGTGATTGGGTCAGCTGGTTATCAGAGCATCACTATAACTCTACCACAACCTAACTGTGTGAGCTTCCATAGTAATATGCATGTGGTGGGGCTGAACTTTGCTCTTTTAGAAAATGCAAAAAAAAGATAATGCTCATATCACTTGCAGCATGGTGAGAAAAATAAGATTGCTGGTGACCCACTGGGTTGAATTTCTCCCTGGATGGCCAGCAGTTAAGGAGAGAATTTGCCCCTGAATGGCCAGCAGTTAAGTAGAGAACAGCTTCACATATCCATATATGGCTTCCTGCTGCTTGGTGAACAAGCCTGTACAGTGATCTATCAAATGTGTATGACTAAGACTGGGAGACTTGACAAACACTTCACACTGTCATGTTTGTACAAAGGGCAGTGAGAAAATGAATAGAATGGTGAATCCATATATTATGCAAGAGATCTGGAGGCTTTATTTTCAGCAGCAGTTTCTGAGTTGGGAATAAATGATTCACTGTATTAATCTAACCCCTGCCATCCTAGCCTGTTTACAAAGTTCCATTTATTAGGTTAAGAACTTAAGATTGCTTTGTTAAAGAACAACCACTACTGACAACAAGAAGAATTGGTGAACTCCAGGTGTCATCAAAGAACGATCGAAACTGCTCTAAAGCCTAAAAATGCCAGCAGTTAAGCCAGCCATAGATGGATCGACTCTCGGCCGGTTCAGCAGGGATCGGCTGAGATTCGATCCATCTATGGGCAGTCTGATTGTACCCAGATTTGTAGCATGAAATTACTGCCTTTCGGCTATAGCCACAAGAAGTAATTGTGTTCTGCCAGCCAGGAAGGCTCCCTGCGTCCAACCGTGGTAGAAGGAAAGAAAATCGATTAATCTATGATTTGCCTTAATCCTAATCAGAGTACAGAGGAAAGATGGTCATAGACAGCTAGAACATTGACTGATTTTAGCAAGAAATCTGAGCCCTGGGTGGCTGCTACTTGACAAATCAACTAAGCTGGATGGAAAATTATCGGCCGAACAGCAACTGGATCTTATCAGACTAGCCATATGTGCTGCAGCTACCTGGATATAATAACCGGTAGTGAATATTCTTCCGTCCACACTTTAGCATGGATGGGGAAATCAATTTTATTTTCTTCTTGTTTAGCCTATGGGCTAAACAAGAGAATTTTAGTCCTGTATGACTAACATAATCGATTAGTGTAAGATTCCTATTGATAAGGAGGGACTGAGTTTTATTTTCACAACGTTTATGCATTGGGAAGAACTTCGAAACACTAAAAAAAAAAAATTATATTGATCCTCCAAAGAGGATTTAAAATCATTTGAGACTTAATTTTAGCTGTAGTAAACCATATAATTGATAATAAAATATATCAATGCCTGTTTTATAGCTGAACTCCAGGCAGATGTAGAAGACCTATTCAGTATATTACTGATGGAAAAACAGAAAATCAATATAAGATATAAGACAATTTATGGGTGCCAAGAGAACTCATAAGGGCTGTCAGGTGGGAATTGGTTCCTTAGGTAGAACTTGCACACATCTGTATTTTAGTGGTAAAAAGGTTCTACTGAACTCTTGAGTTTTCATAGGTATTTTTATTACCAACCTAGTCACACAATGGGAGATAAAATTCCCCCGGCATATCGCTTGGCATTCACATGACTCAACTTACGGATATCCATCTGAAATCTTCAGGCACTGTACTATATACATTAGCCATGTAAATTCTATTGATGGTCATTCTGACTTGTTCATACATTTTCTTTACTGAAGTTTTCTGTCTTCCCTAGAGTTATTTTTCAGATTTACTGCAGCAATATTGAGTCTAAACTATTTCTGGCTAAGTTTTTTTTTTTTCAGATTTAATGTGTGCTTAAAGGATGTGCACTTTGTCTATAATGCCAATGGCCTGAAATAGTTAATTTACAATTATTAAATATGATGGTTTACATTTTAAGCTGAAGAATCCAGTTTAAAAAGCCTCGGCCTGTATGTGTCTTGTAGCATGTAAAAATGCATATTATACCTAAATATATCTGCTAAAGCTTTTGCTCACAGTTGCCCCTGGTGCTGCCCCCAGGGGGAGGCGATATCTGTGTTGGGATGGGCATTAGTCACAGACTAAGGAGAGGATTAAAGTAACAGCTTATGAAGCCCAAATACATAAATGAACTGCAGGATGCATGCAGGCTGGACGGTTTTTAACTAAATAGAATTATAGTTTAAGACTGTGATGAATTTCCTCTTCAACCCTTCTAAATGTTATATAGCAAATACATTCTGAGGGTGCTTTGAAGCATTGCATTACCTGTCTATGCTGGATAGGTATCAGTAAGGTAAAGCTAAAATAAGAACATGGGAGAATGAAAAGGAAGAACATTATGACTATTAACCACTTGCCTTCCAGAGGATTTAGCCCCCTTCCTGACCAGGCCATTTTTTGCGTTACGGTACTGCATTACTTTAGCTGACAATGGCACAGTCATGCAACGCTGCAACCAAATTAAATTTACGTCCCTTTTTTCCATACTAATAGAGCTTTATTTCAGTGTTATTTTATTGCCTCTGCTGTTTTTATTTTTTGCGCTATAAACAAAAAAGACCAAAAATGTTGAAAAGATATATATTTTTTACACTTTGCTATTAAACATGTCCAGTAAAAAAATTAAAAAAATCAAATTTTCATCATAAATTTAGGCCGAAATGTATTCTGCTAAATGTCTTTGCTAAAAAAAAAATCTCAATACATTTTAATTGGTTTACGTGAAAGTTATAGCGTCTACAAATGGCATTGTGTATATATACTGGGATTTTTTATTTTATTTTTTTTTCTAGTAATGGCGGCGGGCATTCTGACACTGGGGAGGAACTGACTTGGTGTGACTGACATCTCCAGTGACACCAATACAGTCATCAGTGCTAATAAAAAGCACTGACATTGTACTAATGGCACTGGCAGGAAGGGGTTAACATGTTGGGCAATCAAAGGGTTAACTGTGTGCTGTTTTACTAGGGGCTGTGTGTGTGCGTCACTGTAAGCACACTGCTTTGTCAAAGAAAGCAGTGCTCAGGAGCTGACAGGAGAGATTTGTATTGTTTACATACAGGTCTCTCCCCCATCAGAAATCCTCAGAGATCGCTGGTTGCCGGTGGGGAATCACCAGCCGGGACCTGATGATTGACAGCCAAAGCTGCGAATGGTGGCGTGGGTAAGGCACGCGCGCCCCCTACCTGGAACGGAAAATCACGCGTGTGTATATATACGTGACTGTGCGCACCCGTGCTGCCCTGTAGCAGTATTTCTGCTGTAGGGCAGCACGGAAGTAGTTAATGTATGTTAATCACGCATTTTGGCACATTTCTACACTGTTACACCATGCTCATATCATCCTGTTAGCCTTGTCACAGACAAAGATGCAGTGCAAGTCACCAAGAATGGGGAATGCAGCAGAAACATTGTAGTCTATGGAAATAAGTTGATCACAGATGACAGCATGGAGATGTTCAAGGAATTGATTATATGCAGCCTGTTAATTC